ATCTTGTGATGTATCACTTGATTTGTGTACATTGTGATCTTGGCAGCGATCGGTGAAGTTCACTATACTGTATCTCGTTGTACGATGATATATATATATATATATATATATATATATAATAGTGCCATTTTTTTGTTACTGGGATAGCCAACGTGCTAGCAAAACTCATGTCCCTATACCCATGGATTAGCAACAGATCTTCAAGATCACATTTAACTAAATGGATTCAAGGTGGTTTCAGGCTTACATACACCTGTTATGATATTCGAACTTCCGATCTTATAATTTGTTTTGCAAATTACCAAAATGTGCCCGATCTAGTTCGCGTTCCCATGATTAGAAGCGTGTTAATGAATAAAAAATATGTTTTTGGTAACCAAGAAAATTACCTGGAGCAGTAGTAAAGTGGTACTCCAAATTCGCATTTGTTTCATACAAGCAAACCAGCTTCCAATCATTGACAAACAGAGCCGTGCGGCCACGTATTTTTCCAGTGAACACACCAAACTGCCATTTTTCATCGTCACGAAGCAGAATGTCCAGTACTTCTACCTTATTCACATCAGTCAGTTGACCGCTGGCAAGTTCTGCATCTCTTGGCGCTCTCGTGTAGGTCTGATAAAGAATGATGAGTCCGGAAACGAAAGCACTCACCTTTCGCGAAACAAACCAAGCAGCAATCATAATGAGCAATATTAGAACTGTGAGTATGAAGAGTATTTTCAACGGTAAGTCGATTGAGCGTATAGATGTGAACAATCCCTCATAGTAGTACAAACGTGGGGGCGGTTCCATGACTAGTTTGAGTAAAAATAATCGTCAACGACTGAATCGAAGTAAAACTAAACCAATAACAGGTAAAAAGAAATAATCAGTCAATTAGGCGCGCGCGAGACAGAGAGGGACACACTGATAGGAAAACACAAGAAGAAAAACTAGAACATGATCATTTGATTAAAACAAAACTGGATTTTGTGTACAGCAGACAGCAGTGCGTAGAGCTAAATCAACCAGGTAATTCCCAGTAGAAGCATAAACATTCCCCTGTTTCTCCTCATAAAATGTCACCTCATCCAAACTGCGCAGTAAACAATAGCGCAATTGTATCAGCTGAACCTAGGAACTATATAATCCAAGTCAACAATCGTGAATTCCAAAAGTGAAAATGACTCACATTTTGGTCTTTAATAACGCTAGCGTTAGAATGGTTTTTAAGACGGGAAACGCCGAGTTGCAGTTAAGACAACTGATTGTGGTTGCTAGGTCACCGAATAAAAACAGCTCAATCACCAAAGTTCATCTAAATAAACCTAACCTCTCAACAAATTTCGCCATTCAAATAGACCCCACAGATCCACGCAATAGAGTATCGCACGGAGTATATCGTAAGCACTGAACTCGTATTTGGTCATAGTTAATGTGGTTAGTTTTAGCGATTGATCTATCGTCAATGCCCAGTTCAGATCAGGGTCACAACACTGATACTGGCCACGGCCCATTGGGCGTCCAGAATTCCTTCAGTGGTATGTTCACCGGATGGGCACCCACCACTTCGATATCAAGCTCTGCTTCTTGAAGACGAAGTACCGTTCACTGCAGTCGTTTTTCTTGTTCCTTGGTTTACCAGTGACTCCTACTTCACAATTCTTCGAGTCAATAGTTTTTTACTATAAAGCAGCGTTAGTGTGCAGTATTAGATTCTTTACAAACAAACTAAACGTTTATTTGAATGCTTGAGCTCG